TTTGTATTGAGTTGGTCTGGTTAATTATCGATCTATCACGCCCCTTCAGAGCTCTCCAACTGACCTTCAAAACAAACAAACAAACAAGTAACAAATAGACCCCACAGCGAGCCCCTTTATGTACTTCTGCTTCGCGGAAGAATTGCTCAGGATTCTTCAGAGATACCGCTCTACTGGCAAATGCAGTCACTGGAAAGTCTAAGACTAAACCGCTCTTCTCGCTCGGATGGGAAGATCTCCCGCAGAGTGACCAGAGCTGTTGGGACACAGGGGACTCCTGGCTTGACCCCGCGCCTTTGGTCTGATCCTTGTCTCCAGGATGTCTGTACCGTTATCTCTCACACTCAGACTCTGCCCTCTGATAACACCTGAAAGCTCCCATTTTCCCGTTGTGATTGTTCCAGAGTTCCTGTGGACGCTCCGCTCACTTTGTTTTCCCAGCCAGGTGGTTTTTTCCGTCCTTTGTGTGTTTGTAGATTTCTTTCCCCTCTCACCCTTTGCTCTCTTATTTCTTTGGTTCTCTGATATTTCTGTCTCCTTGGACAAATACAGCAGCTATCAGAAAAATATTAAGAACGACAGCTTTCCCTTTAGCTTCCTCTCTACATCTGTATTTTGCAGTCTGCACTTGACTATTTTCTGTAGTGGAGGACCCGTCTGCTCACAAGGCAGGCTCTCCCTCTGTTCCCGTAGGATTCTAACAAGGGACTCTTTGATGTTGACCTGAAATTGGTCTCCCTTCTATATCATTTCTATTTCTCCTCGTTTGGGTCTCTGGAGCTGCAGGAATTACTATGGGTTCTCACCCATTGTCCCTTCTTCATACATTAAAGAGAATTAGAACATCTTTCTTACCAAAATATTTGCTTTCCAGGCTGAACACACTAAGGTTTTGGAAAGCCTTGAAAACTTTGAGGCATTTGCCTAGGAGGAACAGGGTCTTGCTACATAGTGAAAGCTGACTCACACTCATGATCCTCCTGCCTCAGCTTCCTGCATACTGGAATTACAGGCATGTACCACACCACCCAGCTTGAACTGCTCTTCAAACAATAGTTCCTATGGCATAGTTGTTTATAATGATTCTCTGAACTCCATTTTCATGACATGTCTTTCTTTCTTTCTTTCCTTCTTTTTTTCTTTCTTCTTTCTTTTTCTCTTTATTTTAGTTTTTCGAGGAATGGTTTCTCTATGAATCTCTGGTTGTCCTGGAACCCACTCTGTAGACTAGGCTGGCCTTGAACTCACAGAGATCTGCTTACTTCTGCATCCCTGAGTGCTGGGATTAAAGGCATACACCACCATCATCTGGCTAATGTCTTTTCAAAACTGTGGATCCCAAAATTTGGCACAGTAATCCAGACATGCCTTGAAGTACTTTGTATTTAATCCTACTGAAATTCCATTACCTTAAAATTAAGGGTTCTTCAAAACTGTTAAAATTACACTTATTGATGTGTGTGTGTGTGTGTGTGTGTGCTTGAGCTCCACAGTACACGTTTGGAGGTCAGAAGGCAGCTTTTAGGAGCCATTCTCTCTCTGTGTCCTATGGGTCCTTTGGGTATCAAGCATGGGCCTGGTGACAAGCACCTTTATCTACTGAATCATCTTACCAGCCCTAAATTCTTTAACCTACTCTTTTTTTTTTTTTTCAAGACAGGGTTTTTCTGTGTAGCTCTGGTTTGCCTGGAACTAGCTCCATAGAACGGGCTGGTCTCAAACTCACAGAGATTCACCTGCCTCTGCCTCCTGAGTGCTGAGTGCACCACCACTTGGTCTTTAACCTACTCTTAATTGTAGCTTGGTGTTCTTGTGGGACTCCCAATAATGGAAGTGTTTGTGTGTCGGGGGGGAGGGGAATGAGGTGTCTCTGACTCTTTTCTGCACTTGGGACCCTTTTTTTTTCCCTACTAGATTGCTGTATTCAGCTGTGATATGAGGGTTTGTGTCCAGTCTTATTGTATCTTGTGTATCTTGTTAGACTATCCTGGGTGAATATCTCTGGGAGGCCTGCTTTTTTTAAAGGGTAACAAAGGAGGAGTTGATCTGGGGGAGGAGGAGTAGGGGGAGGTACTGTGAGGAGTGGATGGAGGGAAAACAGAGGTCAGGATGTAATGTATGGTAGATGAATAAAGGTTAAAAAATAAATAAGTCAAGGAAGGAAGGAAGGAAAGAAGGAAGGAAGGAAGGAAGGAAGGTCCATTTAAGTCACACTGTGTCAGAGCATGACTTAAGATGTTCCCCCCTGGGTTTTGTCGTGTGGAAATCAGGTAGTACTATGTTTCCACGGATGCTCATCTGGGTAATGGCAATGCTGTGCTTCAGGACAGAGCCAAGGGTAAGACTCCAGCACAGGACTGGAAAGATGCTTCAGGAAACCAAGTGTGAGACAATCAATGAAGCCACACCCCTAAGTACTGCTCCAGCTGTGTGTATGCCCGAAGGCCAGAAGAGGGCACCAGACCTCATCACAGATGGTTGTGAGCCACCATGTGGTTGCTGGGAATTGAACTCAGAACCTTTGGAAGAGCAGGCAATGCTCTTAACCACTGAGCCATCTCTCCAGCCCTGCTCCAGCTATTTCAGTGAGAGCTGGGTGGATACAGTCCATATCCCAACACTCATGGAGGATTCCACGAGGGAGGTGCCTTCCTAAGTGACTGGCTGACATCGCCACCCTGCCGTCACTAGGTTTCCACAGAAGGGCCTATCACACTGCTTTGGCATCATTTCCTCATCCCAAACCTTCTCTGAAGCTCTCAGTGATTATTTATAGACCATCTGTTTGAGCAGTTACAGAACCAATCTCCCCGTTCTCTCGTGCACAAATCACGTCATTTTCTACTTCTTGAATTTTAAGGAAAACTTTGTGTCCAGCCTTTGGTTACCAAACCATCATCTCAGAATTTCCCAGGGAATATTGTAGATGGTCTCCCAATGACACACATGTCCTCAAATGTCTGTGGGATGGTTAGATATCGATCCACTGGGCTGAAAAGTTGCTCCTTCAGTTTCATCCTATGGTCACCCCTGTTGGAATTTTAATCTTCAAGGATTATTCTCAGGAAGATAAGGAAACCCAGTGGGTTAAATAATCAAACCGCGCACATGGCCTTTGTAACTCAAACTCCTCTCTGGTCATTTTCGCCTGCTGGATAGACAACATCAGTACAAACTGTGTGCTTTTGTAGGTTCAAGCTCACTGTGGTCAGACTTTCTAAAAATGGAAAACTAGTACTAAGTTTTATGTTTCTTCTTTCTCCTTAAGATATCTTCAGCATCTTCAGTAACTTCTCTGAAAACTGCCATTCTAGGACACAGCCATGGCAAGTCAGTTTTCTCTTGTAGAAACATGTGTGTGAACATGTATACATATGGACCAGTTCTCTTTGTTACTGAAGTATCTGTGAATCACCTGCAGTCACCCAGGCATTTTGTTCCTAATTATTTCAGCACGCGCTTCCCAAGCATAAGAGGGCTATAAGCGGAGACACAGCACAGTGGCCCCACCCCCACCCCAAGGAAATTCTACAGCTGTGCTGTGATATGATTTGATGCAAGCTAATTGTTAATTAATTAAATTAAAATTAATAACTCTTTTAGTCACCTCAATACTGTCCTCCACAGCACCCCCGATTGATTGGAGATACAATCAAGCATCATCTGTTGCAGATCATTGTTGGTTATCTTTTATTCTCCTTTAACTCAGGGAAGTCTCTTCCTCTTGTTGTGTTTCTCAGGATACTGTTTTTTGAAGAGTCTAGGCATGTCATTCCTTGGCATCCATCTCCATCTGGATGTACCCAGTGCTTCCTGATCACTAGATGCATCAGTAGTATTTTTTTGGCAGTTCTTTCTTTGTGATCTATGGCCTTAGGATGTTGGTGTAAGGAGGCCCAGGGTATCAGTCTGTCCCAATATCTGAAATTGTAAATTCCTTGTGGTTTAGATGGACATGCTGCTGTCTGCTGTTTGGTTATCTCTCTGGGTAGTGAAATATTCCTTAACTCTGTAACAGTAATATGTCAAGTGTGACTTCAAGAATGAGTAAATATTTAGTTTCCCAATAACAAATTTGACCAATTTAAATTTTTAATAATTTGTGTTAGTTCTTTGAGTTTTTGTACATGTTTTAGTCATATTTACCCCTTTTTGTTCTGACTCTTCCTAGATTCACCCCTTTTCTCCTCCACGTCCACTTTGGATCTTCTTGCCCACCAAAACCAATCTGTGCTGCCCAATGCTCTTTGCTGTGTGATCTTCCACTGGAGCCTGAGCTATTTATCAGGGACTACACACTTAGAGGAAACCGATCCTTCCTTTTCCCAGAAGCTAATATTGCCGTTAGCTCTCCGGTTAGGAGCAGGAATTTGTGTTCATCTCCTACTCCATCCTGGGATCTGATCTGGCTCGGTTGGCAAAGGTCTTGTGCACGGTGTTGCCCCCACTGTGAGTTCAAGAGTGCAGCTGCCCTGCTGTGTCTAGCAGACACGAGTTCTCGGGGCCGTCCACTGCCTCTGGCACCTAGGCTCCTTCCGCCCCCTTTTAGACATCCGCTCCCTATTGCACAGTGATCTCTGAGCCGTAGGAGGAGGCGGTGCTGGCTATGTATCCCATTTAGGGCTAAGTTTTCTGCAGTCCCTTAAAGGAATTAAATGTTTTACTCTCTTCTAATTAAAACTGAACTTAAAAAAAAAAATCTCCGGTGCTGTTATCCTGTAGAACTAAAATATTTATTTTAAGTGATCAATTATAATATTGGCTACTGCGCCCACTGTGACTTGGCCACGCCTCCTCCTCACAAAAGTCTGTTCTTTGTGATTCAAAAGGAAAATTCTCTGAGGCTGCCACTCAGCTTTCTGATATTTGTTTGTCTTTCCATGGAAAATCTTCCCATAACCTGCAGAATTTTGGTCTCGAGCTCTTGTCAATTTTCTTCCTTTTTTTTTTTGTTTGTTTGTCTTTGAGACAGGCTTTCTCTGTGTAACAGCTTTGACTCTTGTAGATGAGGCTAGCTTCAAACTCGCAGAGATCCACCTGCTTCTGTGTCCAGAGTGCTGGGATTAAAGGCGTGGCCTGCATTGCTCGACTGCCTTTTACCTTTCTGTATTCACCGTATCTTCCCCTCCCGGCACAGGTGGCAGAAGAACAATGTTTTTGAGGAGTGGGGTCTTCACTTGCAGAGAATGGTCTTGTAGGTTTTAACAAATGGAGGATCTTAATTTCAAATGTATGCTAGTACCTTGGGGAGGAAAGAAATGGCACTTTATACTGACTTGCAATTGTTTCCTGGGATTATTAATTAATTAATTTAATTAGTTTATGATTTTTGACACAGGATCTTGCTATGTAGCCCAGGCTGGCCTCAATCTTGTAATCTTCCCTCTCCCAAACTTTTGGTTGTGACCCCCCAGGCCCAGCATGGAAATTCTTAGTGAACACTTTCTATACAGAGAATTCATGAGCTTCTACAGTTGCTGGGTGTTACATAATTCATAGGATGGCACCATGTATCCACAGAACCTAAAGATTTTACCTATAGATCAAACTTAATAGTCTAAATAATTCAAATAATTCAACTACTTAGACATTACTTCCCCCCCCCCCCGCTTATTTTTCACTTTTTGGGGACAGGGTCTCAGTATGCATGTAGCTCTGGCTGTCCTCAATTCCTTACGTGGGCCAGGCTGGCCTTGCACGCACAGAGAGCCATCTGCCTGCTTCCCGGGTGGCAGGATTAAAGGTGTGCACCACCATGCCTGGCAAGTAAAACTTTCTTACCTTCTAAATTAAAAAATAATCTTTTCCAATAGTTTGCATTTGGTTATTTTCATAGACATTGAGTGGGGAAAGAAATGAGACATGAACGGGAACTCCAGAAGAGCGAAGGTGCTGTGTGGGTGGATTTCCGTGTGATCTCTAAACGGAAGATCTGTGCCGTATCCTTTTCGTCCTAGGTCCACGTCTCCACTTGCAAAGCTTCATGGGACTTCCATTTTAGAGCGACATCACCTGGAATACAGCAAGACCCTCCTGCAGGATGAGGTATGAGAGTTTTTCTCTTGGGCAACTTACAGGTTCTGGATCTAAGTGCCCGGGGGGAGGGGGTGTGTGAATCGGTCTTCAGTGAAAACACTGGCGATCTGTCCCCTTGTCCAAGCATAGTTCGCAGGCCCCTGCCGCAGTGCAACGGCAGAAGTTGCTATACTGCATCCAGGTTTTGAAATACCAAGCTGCGAGTAGTTCAGACCTAGAAGAAAAGAGGCACAAAAGTCCCAGAATCTCTGGGATCATTGGTAAAGAATTCAAAAGAACTCCGGGCACCCTGACCATCTGTTTATAAATGTAAAGGGGGCTAACAGCTATGCAGACACTATTTTTCTTACTCATGGGGCACATCCTGCAGAGTGCGGTATGGACCTTGGAGAAACTCAAGTTTTGGTAATGTAAGCTCGGCTGAAGATATAAGATAAAATCAAATAGCTTCCACAAGAGAGGCCCCGTATCAAGCTCCATTCATGGGAGATAAAGGGGAGGGGTCGTGATGGCTTAAGCAGGAAGTGGCTCCCAGCCCCTTGAAGCCATAGGACTGGCACTCACTGTATACCACTAGCCTTCCGTAGGGCGAAGCTGTGCTGCTTCCCCTTGTTAACTTTATTTCAGGGTTCTGGGCACGTGAAACAACTCAAAGGACTTGTTTTTAGAATGAAGGAAATCGTTTTACACAGACAGAGAATCTGCTTAGCATTATATGTTCCCGGGAAAACGCTGCACTCTGGATGGTGGACTTACCCTCACCTTCTGTGATGAGGTCCTGTTAAAGACCGAGGAAGGGAATAGAGAAGTCTGTTCTGGTCTAGAGATAGAACACAACTCAGGGCCTGGGCGACACCTGTTAGGACGATGAAAAGGAAGGGTGAATGGAAGGGATTCGGGGAGGTGAGAATCCCTTGTCAAGACCTAGATTGTGAGGAACCTTCGTTTTTGCTGTGGGACAGTCTTCATGGGGCAGTATTCCTGAAGAAGTATTTTCTGGGGGCCCCACTTCCACACCACAGCGAGGCAAAGTCAGTTCCAATCTGTTGGTCCCACTACGCTTCCTAAGGCAAATCTTTTTAAAGAACTTCAGCTGAGTTTCCCACTACATAATTTAGAAGGCGTTCACTAGCTTACAGGTTTTCAGTTTTGACAGTTTATAATAGAGGTACCCTTTTTGGTTTTGGTTTGGTTTGGTTTTTTGAGACAGGGTTTCTCTGTGTAATAGCCCTAGCTGTCCTGGAACTTGTGCTGTAGACCAGGCTGGTCTTGAACTCACAGAGATCTGCCTGCCTCTGCCTCCCGAGTGCTGGGATTAAAGGCGGGTGCCACCACTGCCCAGCAGAGGTGCCCTTTTCCGTCTGTTTTGCATGGTCTTTCTTTTGCAGTCTCACCTGCTGTGCTGGCTTCTCTTCTTCGCTCACTCGACACAGCAGGGGAGAAGGAGCCTCAGCTGAGGAGTTGCCTGTGTCAGTTTAGCCCGTGGGCCCACTTATGAGGCATTTTCTTGACTGTTAATTGAAGTAGGAGAATCCTGCCCACTGTGGGCAGTGCCACCCCTGGGCAGGAGGTTCTAGGTTGTACAAGAAAGTTTGCTGAGCGTGAGCACGAGGAAGAAGCCAGTAGGAAGTATTCCTTCATCAGAGTCTGCCTTAAGCTCACGCCTCAGGTTCTTGCTGCGGCTTTCTCCAATGATGGGCCGTAACCTGCAAGCTAAATCAAACCGCTTCCTCTCCATATTGCCGGCATCAGAGACGCAAACTAGAAAGCCTGACTTTGATGGCCGTGCAAACGATTGTTATTCTTTCTGAAAAGGAATATTGCCTCTCAGTAATGTCTGCTGTCTCTTCAAGGACTGTCCACAGTGCCATTCGGCCTCTAACTGCAGACGTGTAGAGCTCTGTCAATATGGTTGCCGGGCAACACAATCGCACAGTTCATTTATGAGCAGTTAAATTGATCACAAAAATTGATGCTTCAGTTCATAATATATGTCTTTTATATTTTAGAAAACAGTGTAGCTCTTTTTATTATTCTGTAAGGAAAAGAAGCCCATTAAAAGTTTTCATATTTTTAACAAGAGGAATCCTTGGAATTTGTTCAGCAATCTTGTCTCTTGTGGTCATCACTCAGACATTTTGTTTTTCAGATTGTAGTACATTGAACTGAAATGTCCTTATCTTTCATAGATAGGGCTGCCTGTATCCCAAACTAGATAGAAAGCAGCTTGTGACCCAAGTGACTAGCTGGAGATATTGTTAGCTAAATTTGTAAGAATACATACATGTGCATGTGCGCGCGCGTACACACACACACACACACACACACACACACACACACACCAGCTAAGCAATTAGGGGCTGGCCTGGCTAGAAGTGGGCTAGAGACCAGGCCTCCTGGCTTGTTTGGGCACATCTGCCTCTTTATATATAATATCTTCAGAACAGTGTGCAGGGATAGGGAGATGAAGTATTACATGTTCATATATTTTAAGAAGCAATAACCTAGGAATTAGAAAAAAACACCCTATCTCCATTATAAAAGTTCAAGTCATAGATGAAATAGGAAGGAAAAGTATAAACGAAAAGGGCGACGTTCACCCTTCTACCCCGGGACGAGCTTCGCTGCTGTAGCATGGCGGTGTGGTGTGTGGTGGAATGCCTGTGACCCGGACACTTAGGAGGGAGAGGCAGAAGGGTAGGAATCCAAGGCTATTCTTGGCCACACAGCCTGGGCTACTTGAAACCATGCCTTAAAAAAAATACAGAGAAAACCCACGCAGGATCTGAACTGAGATGCCTAGTGACGTCATTGTACAGCTTCAAGTAGGAATACGATTTTAATCCAGACATTGTTTTCCCTGTAATCTAGGACTTTGCTGGCTATTGCTCGATTCTTTCCATCTAAAAACACGGACTGTAGTTGTGACAATGAATTCAATGTCTTAACAAAACAACTGATAGATTCCTGCCCACCAGTTATGTTTGCCTTGAGAAATGCCAGTTCTCGTCCCAGATGATGTAAAAAGATGGCCTCCATGGAAGCCTGTCATGTCTAGAACAAAGGTCATCTGGGATGGCTGACAGCCAGATTTGGTTTGGGGTTGAACACTTTGTTTGGTTTCATTTTAAACTGGAGCTGATCTCAAACTCTATATGATAAATATTATCACAGTAGAGCTATAACACTGAGTTAGCATGTAGCAATTTTAATTTCTGAGTGATTCCCCAGGTTTGCTTCACCGGAGTTGACTTTGTACGGGTCTTTATTGAGCACAGACTATGAGGTAGGCAGCTGGAAAGCCAAGTTGATCCCAGTTGAGAAAACAAGCACAGACAGCTATCAGTGGTGAAGCTGGGACCCGGTCCTGGCTTCTTGCTGAAAGACAGGATGAGTAAAAACTGAGAATCCTCGCTGTGTGGACAGGCCGCGTGGGTTCAGATATCACACCTGCCCTATTTGGCAGTTTAACCCAAAGCAAGTTGCTTAACATCTCTGCGTTATGGTTTGCCAGAGATTAAGAGCATTCATGAAGCACTGGGAAGCTGGTAGAGACACAAGCTCCTCAACATTCTGCTCTACATAGGAGTCCTCCTGTCTCCACACAGGCCTACAGCCTACCGCCTTTCTCTCTTCAGGGGAATTGTCTGTGTTTCATCACTATTGCCTTCATGTGGCAAAACCATTGTACATCTGTCCTCCGTCCTGCAGGGCTAAAGTGGTCATCCAGAATACCATGACTTTCAGTAACCACTCCCACTGTGTATTCTGGTTATCTAGAAAATGAAGAAATGGAACTGAGTCAAGCACAAAGATTATTATTGAAAGACTCTGAAGAAAAGATTTACTAATTCTTTATAAGATACTGCAGAACATTTTAAGGATAACACAGGGAGGGTCATTACATCCCCCCCCCATATGTGGATATTAACATAGTCGGCAGCTTCTGAGAGACAGTGGTCTGATGGTTACTCTAGAATTAAATGGTCAGCAGTGCCACATGGCTGACCATTGGGCATCCCCCTTTCTACAAAAAGTTTTTATTTTATTGTTGTATTTTCACATGGTCCTGAAAGAGGACAAGTGATTTATCTAAAAATGTAGATAATAGAGTAGCTGAACCTACTTTTAGAGTTTAAATGACCTACTCAACGTAGCATAGAGATGAGTACTTAAACTGCGAGATAAACAAAAATAGACAGCAGGGGTTGAAGAGATGGCTCAGCGGTTAAGAGCACTGGCTCTTTATCCAGAGGTCCTGAGTTCAATTCCCAGCATCCACATGGTGGCTCACAACTGTCTGTAACTCCAGCTCCAGGACATCTGACACCCTCACACAGACATACACACAGTTAAAACACGAATGCACATAAAATAAAAATAAACCATTAAAAAAAACAGACACCAAAAATACAGAACAACAGGTTATATCAGCTCAATAAGTGTGGTTTGCTTTGTTTGTTTGTTGAATCAAAGGTCAATTGGTGGTTGTGTTCTATTGTGAATTGCTGAATTGAATTCATCCTTGCTTGTGAATTGTTCACCTTGCAGAGTTTAAACATCTTCCAGAATCTAAGCAAGCGGCAGTTTGAAACAGTGATCCATTTGTTTGAGGTTGCAATCATAGCAACTGACCTGGCGCTGTATTTCAAGTAAGTATAAGGATGGGCATCAGAATGCCCCTGAGCCTGGTGTGGTTCTGCCTTCCATGAAACGCACTGAAGTTACAAGGCTTGTTCACGTGCCTGGAGAGAAGGCTCATTCCTTGTGAGCATTTGATATCCTTGCAGAGGAGATGGATTCCCGGGACCCACACTCACAATGGCCTCTAACTCTGGCTTCAGAGGTATAATGTTCTACCAGGACTCTGTAGGCATCCACGCATATGCATCCATTTTTAAAAGCAGGCTCAGAATTCTCCTTTCTTTTTGGAATGTCAGTTATCCTCAAGACAGGTGACTGGCAGTGAACTCACTCTATTTGGAGATAAACCTTGAAAGCACAGCCTGCCCTGTTAAATACCTTGTGATCTGAAGTGGAGCAGAGGGTACAGCGGTGCCCGGCCTGAAGAAGGAGGTCACGAAACTGCACGGCATGGCTATGTGTCCTGGTGATTCACCAGGGTCCAGGGTCTAGTGTTTAACTGGGTTTGTTCAGAGGTAGAATGCTTGCCCAGAATCTGGTGTGTGTTATTTCAGGCTCAGAAATTTAATCCTGTGAGAGTTTTGGATTGAACAACCTTGATGATTCTAACACACAAAGTAAACTCACAGAACTTGAGTTTTTACACAGCAGAGGACCAAGGAGACCAGATATGCCAAGTCTGTGCACATTCTCTCCTAAGTGAAATGAAGTTTCATGGTGAACATTAATTAGAAGGAGGTGGGCTATTTATAGGATCCAAATATTTGGTGACTTTGGCACTGTCATACTTTGCCCTGATAATCTTCCTTAAAAATCTAACTATTAAACAGCCCAGCTTTGATTACAAATGCCTAGGATAAAATCATGGTATCCAGACACCCAGGGCTCACACCCCACCAGTGGGAACCCATCACGTCATAAGTGCTTCAGAATTCAAGGATTATGCTTAGTTTGTTTGTTTGTTTGTTTTTGAGACAGGGTCTCTCTGTGCAGCCCTGGCTGTCCTGGAACTCACTCTGTAGACCAGGCTGGCCTCCAGCTCATTGAGCTCCGCCTGCCTCTGGCTTCCAAGTGCTGGGATTAATGGCTTGCACCGCCACCACCTGGCTCAGAATTACGTTTTTAAGGGCAGACACAGAAGCAGTGTTGCAGTTGGGGCACTCCCGTGACCATTTCATCACGGAAAATCCTCACTTTCCAGAGAGAGCCATCTGCTACTGAAACGCCCATCCTTTTCACTCATGTTCCTACGTGGCACTGCTGGGTGTGTCTCGAATTTTCCCCCATATATGGCACCATACTGTCTGTAAATATCTTTCTGCAGCTCGCTTTTCCCACACAGCATTTTGTTTTAAAGATTTGCCTTTGGTGACATGACAGTTCTAGATTGATTAAAAGTGTCCATGTTGAAGCACTTCAAGTGGATTATATGGCATTCACTAACACATCAGATGCAAGACAAGACCCTGAGGAAGGTAAAAAAACATGCAATTTAAAATTAGTGGAAGGGCCGGCAAGCGGGGTAATAGGTAAAGCAAATGCTGTTTAAGTACGGAGATCCGAGTCTGGATTCCTCAGCACCAGTCCAAAAAGCTGAGAGTGACAGTAATCAACTGGAACCCCAGCATACGGAGGGACTGTTAGTGAGGACAGCTGGAAAGATGTCCACCTCTGGCTTTTACACATAGATAGATGTGTACTCCCCTCTTCCACACAAACAAGTACACATACAGAAATAGACAGATAGATGACAGATAGATAGATGACAGATAGATAGATAGATGATAGATAGATAGATAGATGATAGATAGATAGATGATAGATAGATAGATGACAGATAGATAGATAGATAGATAGATGACAGATAGATAGATAGATAGATAGATGATAGATAGATAGATAGATAGATAGATAGATAGATAGATAGATAGATGATAGCAAGAGAGTAAATTGAAAGGAAAGATTTGCCATTGGTAATACACAGAGAGTCAATTCACTTGCTTCAATTGTACCGCATTTAACTGCTGGATAGACAATAATACTCACACTCCTACACATAAATAAGTTCAGATTGTGTCTTATCTCCATTATTGTCCACAAGGCTACATTGCAGATCACTGTGCATATATGTGGGTTTCCATACATAGAGGTGGGGGTATGGTGGAGTGCATATGTGTTTTCTGCGTATGCCGCCTTGCAGCGTTGGGCTCCACCGTTTACATCCTATCCGCAGCACGTCAGGGCCCTCTGATCCCATATCTGAAGTACTCTTGATCTGGACACATTGAACTTCGGTTTGCTAACTTATTGAGTATGAGAAGATACCCTATTGTTTAGGTCTGTATTTACCATGTATGAGACCAATCATCCATGTATTTTGCTTCTGTGTTTCTGTTGGGCAGTGTGTTATAATGGTATAGCTCCTGGCTTTTGTGTTTCTGTTTTGCTTTTTCCTCGTTTGAACTTTTGGTTTTACTGTATTTAAACTTTCACGGGTTCTCCCCGCTCTGTGGTTTGTGCTTTTTCTGCCTCTAGCCCTGTCTATGCTAGAGACAGTCGGAACTGCCTGCTCTCTACCCTGGCTCTCGGGCCCTGCTAGGCAGACAGCCTAAGGCAGAGTGGGAACACAGACTATGAACAGCGCACACTAAAGATCCTTTTCTGTGCAAAAACTGATGCACAGCTGCACCCTTTCCAGGAAGAGAACCATGTTTCAGAAGATTGTCGATGCCTGTGAGCAGATGCAAAGCGAAGAAGAAGCCGTCAAATATGTAACCACCGACCCAACCAAAAAGGAGGTCATTATGTGAGCAGTCAGAATATTAATTCTTTTTTTTTTTAGCAAAACAGCACGTTTTGTATTTTTTCCTAGTTTAATAATTTTTCTCTTCTTCATAAGGGCCATGATGATGACCGCCTGTGACCTGTCCGCCATCACCAAGCCCTGGGAAGTGCAGAGTCAGGCAAGTCCCAAGGCATTTCTTTTCTTGACATACATCAGGCCCTGCCTAAATTCCATGAAAAACCACACAGTGATCTCTGGCAACCCCGGAGTCCTATTTTGATTTTTACAAACAGTAACGGGTCAGCAGATCATTGGATCATGTCCCAGAACAAGGAAAATACAGAGGCTTTGAAAAGAAAATGGAGGGGGGGGGGGGTGAAAGTGGGGGACAGAATTCCTTATTATTGGCTATAAAATGTTTATGTGGAATTCACCAGGCGTGGTCATTCAGATCTGTAATCTGATTGCTCATGAGGAGGTTGAGGCAGGAGGATACAGGATTCAATGATAGCCTGGACTACATAATAAGACCCATCATGAACTCAACATGTAAGCTTTTCAGTAGGCAGAGAAGTCAGAACACGCCCTGGTGGGAGGGATTATTTACTCTGCTTAGCTGACCTTGCTCCCAGAGCTCTTCTACAATGTTCTGTCAGTGACCAGAAGGTGCTCACATTCAGGGCTGTTCTTCGTCTACTTTGGGCTGAGAACAAGGAGGCGATGCCTAGCTACTTGTTCTCTCACTAATTGCTTGGAAGAAGCTGCCTTTTTCTCAATGCCATCTAGGTGAAACCCTCAGCAGAGGAGCCAGGATTATTCTGGTTATATCTCGAAAGGAAAAGCCATTGAGACCCATTGTGGGAGAGGACAGATACCTTTTTTCCAGCCGTCCTTGGTTTGTGGCTCTAGTACAAGTAAAAATATCTAAGTAAAAGATATCCTGCAAAGAGAAAGTATATAAATTTATACAAGATTCACATACTTGATATAGGAGCCTTCATAAGTAAACAACAGCCTCAAGAAAGTTACCTTCATAGATTTTTAAATAACATTTAAAGTGTGTGTGTGTGTGTGTGAGAGAGAGAGAGAGAGAGAGAGAGAGAGAGAGAGAGAGGAGGCAGAATGTGTGTGCGTGTGTATGAGGTGCTCAAGCAGAAGGCTTAGGATCTCCTAGCACTGGGGTTACAGGCAGTTGTGAACTGACGTGGCTGCTGGGAACAGAACCCAGGTCCTCTGGGAGAGCGCTACCCACTGGCACTCAGCCACCTCTCCAGCCCTGTATCCTTACGTATTTTTATGCAAGAATTGATGAAGCTGTAGTTCATGGAGAAGTACAACTGGACTAACTCGGAAAACTTAGCTCAGGGTCTTGGCTCTCTCTCCCTCCAGTGTCCTTCCTCTGCAGGTGAGGGGCATCTCTTGAATGAGGTTGTTAGGTCAGCTTTAGAGAAAGGTCAAGACCAAACTTCATAAGCTGCTTTAGCGGAGAGGGGGAGGCAAGTGGGACCTGCTCGGAGGTTTGATCAAATTCCAATAGCAAATAAGCATTCATATTGGCATGACTGCTCTTCCTGCTGTATTCTTGATGTGTGTATGTGTAGTGTATGTGTGTGTATGTGTGTGTGTGTGTGTGTGTGTGTGTGTGTGTGCTTGCGTGTGTGTGCACATGGAAGCCAGAGGCAAAAGTTGGGATGTCTTTCTCAAACGTTCTCCACTTTCTGAGATAAGGTCTCTTTACTGAA